AATAATTTGCCATTTCCGTTGCTTCTCTCTAAAAGCACCAGTCCTCATACAACAGATCTGAGCAATAATTAGAGGAAGGCTTGAAACAAAAAGAAACATGAGACATGTTTGGGGAAGGTCACAAGCAATTACCAGCCTGGTAAAAAAAAAAAAAAAAAAAGCTGGCATGTCTCACATGGCACCGCTGTGGGCCCTCATTAGGCATGTTCTGCAGCTCAGAGTGGGTCTCATGACTATAAAAAAAGTCAGCTCAATGCCTTCTCAGGCAGGTCTTACCAGCAGGCGCACAAAGAAACTACACAACACCACCTCTATATCAGATAGGGAGGGAAAAACCTTCTTTATCGGTGGGAGGATCTGTATGGTTCTTTACAGGTTGGGAATGGGTGACTTTTAGAGGATAAAAACTCATTTTCACCTCAATCTCCCAAATAAAGAGCAAAATGGACTTCACACAAAACACTGTAAAATTTTCAGTTTATCTTATGTTCCCTAAATTGAGGTCTCCAACTGAGTCAATGCACCTAAACGAGCATAAGACCTAAGTGTTAGACAATGTGGCACACATGGACCATCCTGCCTTTAAAATCGCCCTTTTGTGTTTTATTCTAACATGTCAAATGAGGTAAACCAACTACCTTTAATTTACTTACTGTTGTCTTATTCTTACTTGGTAGAATAAGATGCCAACATGATGTTTTGGCCTTATGAGGATATGAGAAGCAGACAGCAAAGGTAAGTTTTAGCAGTCTAACTACAATCAATTAATCCCTGAAATGATCGGCACCATCAGGCACAGAGTAAGAGTTTCCCTGTCCAGTGTAGATAAGGGAAAATAGAAGTTTAAACTCGCCTTTAGACTTTAAAGACAAAGCAAACTTGAGGGTGTTTATCCGTTGATGACACTTAAAACCCAGATCAATATTTACTCAATGGGGTCGTTGCACCTTGTCGGTGTCGGATGTCGATTAGATGAGTTTTGTTGGTCTTTTCACCCCTCAAGAGTTTTGTTTGGTGTTTTTAAGTCTACAAATAACTTAATGATAATTGTCAGATCACACACAGGCCTAAATATCTTAACTGAATTATTTGACACACTATAACAATCTATTTTAGACTGTGCTAAATATAAGACATTAGATGCATTTCTAATTTGATCATGCATTTTAGTTTTTATATGTATTTTCCAAATAATGGCATAATTCTATGAGAATACTACGTTTGCAAAAACCTACTTTTGCAAAAAATTTTGGTCATTTAGTCATTATTCCAATTTTATTGTGCAAAGTGCTTAAGACATCAGTACTGATCTGCAGATAATGAATAAATCTGTTTGCAGAAGCGAAGATTCTAGGCTTGGGGACAATTTTACCATGGTTCTTAGAGAATTCTGACTTTATAGAATAGATTTTATAATATTTTAGTATAATTTTAGCTCTATGATTTAGCAACAGCAATACTGGTCCTACTGGGTTGAATTATGAGCAAAGGACCCCTGTGACAATGTTTCTAAAAGAACATATTAGCACTGGATGTCAGAAAGGTCCCATCTTGTTATATAAAACTTGAAAGTTTATCTACTCTGTTAAGCCTTGATAACATTTTCAAGTAGATTTTTCCTGCCCTGAGACAGTCATTGCCAAAGAATTCTAGGTTGTCAGAGGGCAAAAAAGGGAAAAAGTACTGCTATTTTGATTGTAATTTATGTCTTAACCACACTGTTGTGTTTCTTTGACAAACTAGGTGAACAAATTGCTCTCAACAATTCGCTGGATTAATTTAGCTGAGTAAATAAATCTACTTCAGCTTTTAAACAAACAACCTGACTCATAAATATTGATTAAAGCACAACTAAATCAAGTGCATTTAATTTATTAGGTATATTATATTATACTATATAAACTCTTGTTGTTGAGTGAAGATTTGGGTATTATATTGCTCTATTCACCTTATGTTATGATTCATGTCATCTAATTCGCCTCATTAGAGCGGGAGTTCCATTATATCAAGAATAAATACATATTTTTTTATAAATACATTAATTAAGCAGTACCAAAAGTATTCACCAAAAATAATAATAATAATAAAAATTCCATCCGTTAAATTCAATACGTTTTAAGTAAATTTACAAATCTGTTGGCTATGGCTTAAACTTTACTGAGGGTTAATTCAATTTACATTCGATTTTAAGTTTTTTTTTATATAGCCTATATATATATATATATACATTTTTTTCATATTTTGGAAAATGACTGTACTTAAACGTCGAATCATTGCAAAGAAAGAACTTTGGCCTCTAGGTGACCGAAACGGAGTTTAAGTTTAAATTCCAATATTGAGGACTGTATTTTGGTATTTATGTTTCTGTTTCCATGTTTATGGGGGAATGTATTGTGGGAATACACTGTTAAGTCCTGGAAAAAGGACAGAAGCCGTTCAAGAAGTGCTTTTGTTTTGTCACACCTGAGAAGCGACATCAGACAGTTGCGAAGTGCGCAAAGCTGCACCAACAGCATCTGACACGCACATTTCTTTTAGCATTACAAATTTATTTTTGAATAAAGATTTTCTTTCTTTGATAACGTTGTTTGCGTGGTTCTGCGAATGGTTTGAAACTCATGAAAGACGATTTATAAAAAGTTTAATAACTCCACTAATACAATAGGGGACCTTTTTATGAATACGAATATTATATCTACAAAGATATGTGTTTTCTGTCGAAAAAAAAAAATACATCTCAAAAATAAAAAAATAATTGTGTTTTCTAAAATTCTTGAGAATTTAATTACATATAATTACAACGAAATGATGCGTAAACAACTTATCAACTCTAAAATCAACTGGGTTACTTAAGAACAAAGAAATGCGTAAAGGCGAATATATATGATTTATCTTCATTAGAGATAAAACGAAATTTTTCATTTTTTCTGTGCTATTCAGAGATTACAGCCTGACATAAAACAGCTCACATGTAAAGTCATCAAAACTCATCTTTAGGAAATCAAAAAATAGAATAGCTCAAAATTGAAGCTTAGACTAATAAAGAAACACTAAATAGGAGCACAAGTTTGTTGGTCGCTTTAAAAAAATATAAATAAATAAACTTAAAAAGGACGTAAAAATGTAAACTGCCCTTCGGTATTGCACCGTTTTTATTTGAAGATTTTTGCATTAATTTGCAGAAAGCAATCTGAATCATTGCACCAATTCGAAAACCTGTCAAAATCCTGCAGTCTGCAATTCCAAAGTCGTCCAGAGGAGGGAGGTCAACAGATCGATTGGTTCTGACACAGATGACATAGTGAATGGAAGGAGGTGGA